ATCAGCAGCTGCCTCAAGAATGAGCAATATAACATTCAAACACCTATGTGGAATAACATCGAAGCACTTAATTTGAATACATCTCATTGGTTTATCTTATCTGCCGCCAGTACTTTGTAACATTTGTAATGGATTATTTTAATTGTTGTGTTTTAATTCTGTATTATTTACGTTTTCATTCCGTATTGTTGTATTGTTGGAAGCCGCCCTGAGCCTGCTTTGCGGGGAGGGCGGGGTATAAGTTTGACTATAAATAAATAAATAAACTTTGTTGGTCTCAAAGGTGCCACTGGACTCAAACTTTGTTAGACAGGCAGGCAGGCAGGAAGTATTATTTTTAAAGTTTTCTCGCATGCGCGGGCACTTGCCAGAAAGCAAGCAATTTAGCGCCCAAAGCAGTTACATTTCCCAGGCTTGGGGAATTACAGAAAAACATCTTCAAGGCCAATGTGCAGATAGTGGAGCGCTAGACAGAGAAGCTCTGAGAACGGGAGGGAGAGAACAACCCCCCTCACATTCCAACACCATGATAGGGTGTCCTGTTTGAGTTAGGCTATGTTCAGCCACTGCTGATTTTTCAGGTTGGCCAAGTCTGCAGTGTCTTTCATGTCAGCACTACAGATAAGATTAGAATTTCAACAACCTCCTCAGGAAGCAGGAAACAAAAGAACCTCCTCAGGAAAGCTGCCCATTAGCATGTCCATAGCCTGGGGAACTCCTACAAGACAAGACAATGACTCAGCCCTATCCACCTTCTGGAGTAGATATAAATTTACTGCCTACCATTTTCTTCTCACCTTGACACAGAGAGTATTCCATCTTTCTGTGTTTACTAGGGAGGAAGGCCCGTTGAGAAGGGCGATACAACGGGCAGCTAGCCCCCCCCCCGCTTCCTCCCCCTCCCTGCCCTCTCCCCGGCGGCGGTGCCCCGAGCACGGCTGAGAACCGACTCGCTGGGGGAGGGGAACGTCCGGAGGTTGCAGAGAAAGTTCTCGTTCACTGGGTATTGTCCTACAACGGGCCACTGAAACTGCCAGCCTTTCTTGTCTGAGCCAGGCTGAAGAGGAGGAGGAGGCGGCCGCGAAGGGAGCGAAGTGAGGCAGGAGAGGGCCCCCCCAGCCTGGGCGATCGTCTGTCTGGGAGGCTGGG